TCTCTGTGATCATTCTTGCTGTTATAATCACAGTTTGTTCAAATTAGTTTTTCCTTCCACTGTAGTTTTCATCGGTCAGCCACAAAACTGCTTCATCATACAGAGAGCCCTTAGCAGACCACTGAACGTTTTGCTGTATTCAGAGGCCTGCTGAGGACTGAATCTGTGCTGCTTACTGATATCACTTTCCTTTTGTTTTCATTGATCTGAAAATTTTGTTTAAAAATCCTGCCTGTACATTCTAGGTTGTTATCATTCAGCTCTGTAGGCTTATGACTTTCTGCAACGTGGCACATCTTTTACTGACCATCAACTAAAGGTTATAAATCCTGTTTCCCCCCCAGTTCCTACTGTGATGCAGTTACTCATCGTGGATAGCAGTCTGGTAAAATATGTATGCAAAAGCATCTATAGCTCTTCAGCAATGTGTTTTACTGGAAGGACTGGCAGAGAAAAGGATTAGGTTATAGCAGCAGTATACAAAGAACTATCAAGAGCTTCAGCCTTATGCTTTTTCCGTACGTAATAAATCTGTCTCCACTGCATGCTCATGTAGATTAAGATCTTGAGTCTTCAATGGATTTGGTGTTAAGGATAAGGGAGCCTGGACTACAAATGCCACTTCTCAATGGCTCTTCTCAAAGGCATGTTCTCAGAAGGTTGCTAATTAAAAGTGCAAATCTTTATCAAGAACTTGTTTTTTAGTTACAGTTTTTGATAAAAGTTGCTTTTGGAGGGCTTTTTAAACTCATAACTTACAGATGTGCTGTTCTTTCTGTTGCTTAACAGCTGTTTCTTCTGGGTTTAAGTCTGAAACAAGGATCTTTCTCCAGGCCTTGTCTTAGAGAAACTAAGTTCATCTCCCTGTTTCCTTAGCTTTATGCCCTTCAGTAAGGCATATGCTGCTTTGGCTACTGCTGCATGTTCATTGATATCTTCATTGACTTTCTCATGTCCCTTGGAAATCAGTACATGTGACTTTGTGCTGCAACAAGTGACTTGGGAGGCTTTGTTTCCCATCTCTTCTGGTGTAGTCATCTTCGTTCTTCTTCCAGCAATAGTTATAATGTGGGTCCTCCATGGCCAAGCACGGCATGCAAAACTGCTTTTCTGGTTACCTCTGATCACTGGAACATCCCCTTCTGATGGTGCTTTGGATAACAGCCATCAGCCCTGCTTGTTCAGCTCCTGTAGCAGTGTGCTCTGTTATTACCTGTGGATAGTGAATATGCTGTAAGGAAATGAGTGCTGCCTAAGGTCTGCAGTACAAATTTGGCCACACCTTTGAGTGTTTGACCAGTTGCTGCAGAACCATCCTGAATTCAAGCCAGGTAAAAGCTGCATGCAGATGCTTTCCATAGTCACATGTAATCAGTCACATGTGTAAACAAAATACACTAAAAAAATAAAAGAAGAGTTGCACTTAATTTGCTTGCACTGAGTTTAAATCAGGAATGCATGTCTCCCTATCTAGGCAGACCTGTAGACTTATTCCTGACAATAACAAAAAAAAAATCTTTGACAAGGAAAGCTTCACTCTTTAAGTTATGTTCATTCAAACAGACTCACCTCCTGGTGCAGCATCCTGTCTTCAATAACAATGTATTTTGCCTGATCCCCTGGGTGCTTTGGGTACTGGAGAGAGCAGTTTGAGACAGAGCCAGTCTAAGCAGTTGCTGCCCTGAAAGAGAGATGTCCCATCTGTCTTCACATGCACAGGCATTACCTGCTGCTGTCCCCTCCATTCAAGTCAATCAGCATCTTCTGTCTCATCCTATGAGCGGGTGATTGCATTTGCTAATCTGTCAGGAAAAAAAAACTGTCTCCTGTAGAACAGAAAAATTAATTTTCTTCTAGGTTAACTAATTTAATGAGCTTTACTATTCACTCAGGCAAACGCCAAACCAAGCGTGAAAGTGGAGACATGCTGATGGAGGAGGAGGGCGAAATGGGCAGGGGCAGCATTCTGCAGTCAAGCTTATCTTATCGCTCATTGGTAATGAAAAATGTTTGTGATCCTCTGCTTCTGTTGCTGCCTCATGCATATTGGCTGCCTTGTAAATGCTTGTGCTTCTCTGCTCTAGCAGTGAGCTGGTGCAGGCAATGAAATAAAACTTTATTTTGTAGCACAGGTGGTTTTGGTCACTTTAACGATTTGAAGCAACTCCCTACTAGCGCAGATGAGTGAACAGCAGTGGGGTGAAGGACAGCTCCTCTCAGGTACTGAAGAGATGCTAGATGAACTCAGCTGCATGGTCGGGTTGCTCCCCATGGTGTGGTGCCGTGCTGCAAACCATGCGGCTACAGCTGCCCCCTCCCTCGTGCTGGCATTGGTGAGATCTGGGGATCAGCAGCCAGGAGGAGCTCAGCCACCTAATAATTGTTCCCCCACCCCAAGTCATTTTTCAGCCCAGTAAACTCCCCATGCTGGTCAGCAAGCTGTTAATCCTAGCTCAGAGGAGAGCAAGACAGAGCACTCCCAGGCAATCCTAGGACATGCATTTCAGTTGTATGCCACATCTGGATCAGCTGCAGCCAGCCATAAGGATACACTTCTATGGCTGACACATCTGAATGCAAAGGGTTTCTTCCTCTCACTGAGAAAGTACAAGAAGTACTAACCTGTACAGTAGCCAAAGTACTGGATGTAACTTTCCCTTTCAGCTTCTTGTAGTTGCCCTGTTACTGGCTCTTAACTCAGAGCAGATACTGATGTAATTAACCACTTCAGTCAGACAATGGTTTAGAGGTAATTCATCTGCAGTATTTGTCTTCCAAGGACTATATAACATCCACTTTAACAAGATGAATGCTCTTGATTTTTGTAATAACATTTTAGTGTCTCCCTGTAGAGTATCAACCCTCTCGCCGTGTGCTGACTGTTCACTTGGGAGTGGATGAATGAGTTGCAAGGCAGCGATGTAAATCGCTAATGTAACAGTGTTGTCCTTTTTCTCTATGGGATATAATTTTTGTTGTGACTGTGCAGACTGCAGCTACTCTGTGTATTTACCATAAGAAAATGATTTTTTTCAACGGTCTTGGGATTCCTTTTTATGAAGGTTTGTTCTTCCTTAGTAGAATGGTTTCATTCTGTCGGAGACTAAAATATAATAATATTTTTATAGTGTTACTCTGCAATTAACTTTTTATTTACCAAAACACTTGTGCATTGATTTGAGATCTTTGAACAGTTTTGCAGGTGTACATCAGACTTGGATATAGTCTGGATATTCTGTTTCATGGGCATCAAAGCACATATTTTCTATGGAACTTGAGGGACTTTCTTTAGCAGGATTTTTCTTCAGCATGAAATCTCTCGAGAAAAATGAAGCTTTGGACCTCAGTGAAAAATCAAAATTTCACATGAAATTGGTCCACTCGTCCAGAATACTACGTTGACAGGATTATCTGGAAAGTTTGTATTGCAGTAGTATTACAAAGGAGAATTTAATTGGCTAATTCCTTAGTTTACATGAAGAGGCAGGGAAATTTTCCTTAAACTGAAACAGCAATTAAGAGATCTGAACTTCATGAATGTACTAGACCTTATTGCATTTAATGAGTATAAAATGCCATCTCACTCCTTCCTCAATTATTCCTTAGAGCAGTTATAGCTCAGCTATGATCTAATTCTATTTTTTTGCTCATTTGTTAATATTATAAAGTAATCATGTTGTTTTATGGAAGCAAACATTATATTGTGGACTTTAAACAACAGGTTTATGCACAGTTTGTTTGTTTCGACTTAAAAAGCAAGGACCCAACCTTTAGCTTTAGGGGTGAGGCAGGGAGTGGGCAACTGTTTTCAGATGGTAAGGCTTCAGTTTCTCTCATCAGTAAGGACTGGCTTGTTTGTTTGTTTGTTTTGCGTAGCTAATGCACAGTTTTTATGATAATACATTTGGCTGATGGCTTGCGTTGTAGCTATAGCAGGCATATTAAATACCTGATATAGCCTTGCTTCTTTTTCTTTCTGCTACCCTCTAAACCTATTTCAAAACAGTAAAATGTGAATAAATAGTGTAGTCTTTCACTCCTAACTCTTGGTTTTGTCAATACTAAGACTGTGAAAGAGAGTACAAATAAGCTGAAGCAATTCATATTTAAGCAGTATACATGTATATTAGTGGGTATGATACTCTAGAAGGTTGATAAGGGAAAATGCAATATCATTCTCGACAAACCTGCAATTTAACAGTTTAGCTAACTGTGTGTTGTCCTTCTTGGTGGTGGTGACAAGCATTTGTAGAATAACATTCCAGAAACATCATCTCTGAATTGACAGAGAAAGGCTTTATTCTTAAATTTATTATACTCAATTCAATTATCGTCATTTCTATTCTGTGGAAAATTCTGTGCTTTAAGGGAAGATGGAAAACTTTGTGCTTCAAGAAAAAATAACTTTTCAGAAAGAAAACAAAGAACTTCTTTTATGGTTAAGTACTATTTAAAAATAAAAAAAGCTATTTAGTAGAATCAAGCTTGAAAGCTTATTGCAGAGTTCTTTGGCTCAGCCGTAACTCTCAATTCCAAGAAATCCATGTAAGTGGGGGCTGGTGAGCTCTGTTGCCAAGACCCTCATGCACTCAGCATTGTTGTCTCCAGGGCAGACAGTGTGGTAGAAGTGTCTGCACAGTGAATATCTGAGCTTTCCAGCAGCCCCATAAGAAAGCTGATGAAAAGTCAGTCATGGTTCTGTCAGTACTATGCATGAGTTTAACTAGAAATTCCTCAAAACCGATGTGTTAACATGTCCATGATCTGGCATTTTTCCTCTGCAACCTATTAAACTGGCCAATTCTTCATAAGCAATTCTTCATAAGCTTTAGTATATATTCAGCCTTTCTCATAGCTGTACCCCTTCTGGTCAGTGCTCTTGCTGGAGAAAGAGCCTACAGCAAATGTTGGGAAGACTTTGCTCTCAGGTGTTAAAAAGATAAAATAAAAATCTTCATTTCAGGAGGTGAAGAATTTGTTCCATGTGTTTGATCTTGCAGGAATTCTTCACTGGGTGAAGCTGATAGATAACTTCGAGGCTGAGTATGAGTATGTCACCAATGAAGGAACAGTTTTCACCTTCAAGACAAATCGTCATTCTCCAAATTACCGGTTAATCAACATTGACTTCAGTGACCCAGAGGAATCCAAATGGAAAGTTCTTATCCCTGAACATGAAAGAGATGTTCTAGGTAAGAGTTTATGTCAAGTAAGACTCTTCAAACTAATTCAGTCATTAGTCTCTTGAATGATCTTGTACAGACCTTGTTACTTTTTTATTGTGTTTAAATTTTGTTTAGGATTTGACATGTTTGCTTGCAATTAAGGCTTGCCTGAGACATGAGAGATCCAAATTCTGTTTCTTGCTCTCTAACATCCTGTGTGGCCATAATGAAGTCACTTCATCTGTCCTTGTGTTTGTAGGAAATGAGGGAAAAGTATTTTCCTGCTTTGTGTCAATGTAGTAAATGTTTACTAGACAGCCGAGAATTACAGCAAGGGGTGCTTCGTAGTCAGAAAGAAGGAAAACAGCAAGCCTAGAAGTGTAGCACATTGAACAGAACTGGTCAGAAACAGGTTTTTCTGTTGTTCCTAGGATAAGAGGAGTAGGCACCACTAGAAAAAAGCCTTAGGAAAGTCAAAGTGCATGGAATTTTCTGAGTGTAAAAACAAGTTCAAAACATTCAAAACGTAAAAGATTTTGATAAAGGATGTATTATGATAAATGTTCTGAAAGAAGTTTCAGCATTAGGGTTTTTCTTAATCTCATCATTTGGGGGAAAATTATATTAAAACTTAGTACTTGAATTAGTTTCAGATAATACAGAAAAATCTCCCTTGAGCTATTTTTTTTAACAAATGCTTTGTGTACATTTATGTAGTCTATTCTCCAGACAGTGCAAGATATAACTATGATTTATCTGAGTAGCATAATTACAGCTATGCAAAAAGACTCAGCGTTTATTTTTTATTAATCCTTCTTTATACAGCTCCACTCATTCATTGTCTGTTACTTCTCCAGTGAAGAGCTGTTTTTTAGAATGAGCAGAATCCTCTGTGTATATGATTGATAAGTGTGTATGCAGTAACTTCTGTCTTTTCTCACTAAGACAAATCTATTTGGCTACTATTTCAAATTCCTCTCAAGATCTTTCCAGGACCTCTAAAAATAATCTCATTTTCTGCAATGTGTCCTCTGATTTCTGCCACAGACTAGGCAGGCTGCATCTCCAGTATGATATAAATGGAGACTAAAGCTATTATAACACAATGTTTGGTGGGTTCTTCAGATGATCAAAAGCTGTCTGGCTAGCCCCTGTGCCATGTGTCTCATATAACAGATATGTGAGGGAAAACGAGGCACCTATAGAGCACGTCCTACTCTACTCTGCACTGGGGCAGCCTCACCTCGAGTACTGAGTGCAGTTTGGGGCGCCACAGTATAAGGAGGATATAAAAACTATTGGAGTGCATCCAGAGGAGGGTAACAAAGATGGTGAAGGGTCTAAAGAGCAAGACATACGAGGAGTGGCTGAGGTGCCTTGGTGTGCTTAGCCCAGAGCAGAGCAGGCTGAGGGGAGGCCTCATGGCAGCCTGCAGCTCCCTCACGAGGGGAGCGGAGGGGCAGGCGCTGAGCTCTGCTCTCTGGGGACAGCGACAGGACCCGAGGGAACAGCATGGAGCTGGGACAGGGGAGGGTCAGGCTGGGGGTTAGGGAAAGGGTCTGCGCCCAGAGGTGGTCGGGCACTGGGAAAGGCTCCCCAGGGCAGTGGGCACAGCACCGAGCCTGATGGAGTTCAAGAAGTGTTTGAACAACGGTCTCTTACAAATGGTCTGGTTTTTGGGTGGTCCTGTGTGGAGCCAGGGGCTTGGACTCAATGATCCTCGTGGGTCCCTTCCAACTCTGGATATTCTGTTATTCTATTCTACATCCAGAACTGTAGTGATGTTGCAAACAGCTGGGGTTTTGAGTGCAGCCAACTTTTTGCTAAACACAAAAGTAGCAAACAGAACTTAATGAAAAACAAATCTTCTTAAGATTGTGAACTCTTTGAATCAGGAACAATCTGGATTTTAAATGAAGTACCTTTGAAGCCGTAGGCAGATCATAAAGAATAAGTAAAAGCAAAAAATTACTTTCAAGTCTAGTTTCTGATTGCATGCAAATTTGCTGACAGTCCATAAAGCCATTTTTAGGTTTATACAGCGATTTATAAAAAGGGACAAAGTTGAAGAATTGACTTGGGGATGGCACTTCCAAATAAAATAGGAAAGAAATGTGATTGGCATGAAATGTTTACTGGGTATGGATTTACCTGAGATGTGGTCTAGGCAGCCTAGGAGCACTAAGCAGTGGTTATATAGGCACTAGCTATGTGTTCCTTCCTAGAAACATATCTGTTCTTAACTACAGTGTGATATTTAGCTCAAACTCCATTTTGTTTTCATTCTAACGACAAAGTTCGTGTTTGTGCACATATGTATGTATATGTACAGAATGTATGCAACGCTCCTCTAATGGATTATATGTGGCAGTCTTGACTTGTATAAACATAACAAGTGCTGCAGTTAGAGAATCAAAAGTTCAGATAAATGGATTTGCTGAGGGCACTGGCCTTCAGACTATAAACACAACGGTCATTCAGTTCTTACATACTTGAAGGCAAATATAATCTGTCACATGAAAACGTCCCAGTGACTTTCAGGAGTCCATTATGTTATCATCAGGTTTCTACTGTATTTGAATTTGGAGCCAGAGTAGGCAGTCATATGCACGTGTTTCTCCTCAGCGTTTTGGGGTGGCACATAAAGGAGTTGTGTTAAATGAGCAAATGAAAACATCTTTATAGGAAGGTGCATTATAAGTAAATCTCAGAGTTAATGCTACAGTAAACTTGATCTGTTTGCTTGCTTTTTTGTGGCTCACAGTTGCAAATCAATGTTGTATTCTCTGCTCCAAGGTAAGGGAGTTTTATCATTTTCAAGAGGTTATCGCCTGAATAAATTAGAACACACAAAAACCACCAACAACAACAAAAAATGTGCGTTCACACTCAAAGTCAACAAGCAAACCAGTCTCTGTCATTTTGTTTTAATCTTTCCAAGATTTGGTTTGGAAAGACATAATTATAGCAGAAGGCAGTTAATAATTCAAAGCCTTGCAGTCAAGGGAATTTGATTTTGTGTGATCCAGAGATGACTGTAATGAAGATCCTTCTGCAAAAGCTAGGACAGCAGTGATTCAAAGGGTGATTCAAATGCTTCTTGTCCAGTTTTCCATATGTGGGGATGATTGTTTACCCAAATGTCCTTAGCTGTATTAGAATTTCATTCTAAACGTTGTAGTCAGTGATCTTATAGGTTACAAATGTATCTTTGTACTTTTACTGGAATATATAGTTACTCTGCTCAAAGCCTCCTATTCTAGCATGATCTTCGTTTCTGTATGTTAACGGATTCAGTTTCAGAAAAGCAGCACCATGCACGTACAGAAATAAATTCTATTTATGATTAATAAATTAGGAACTATGAGTGATAAAACTCTTCTAGTTTACATTAATGGTGAAAATAAATTCCACAAAGTGTTAAAATGCATTCTTAGGGAACATGCTATAGCTAATGTGATTTAACCAATAAATAAATATACTTGCTTGCGAGACCATGTGAATGTTGTTTGGTTTCATCAACATGTTCTTCTAAATATATATATGTATTTATATTGACTTTGACAGTTTTGTTTTTAGGACTGTTTAGAAATGAGGTAATTTGGGAAATACAGGGAGGGGGAAACATTTTCCTACAATGAGACTGATCATACATCTCATTTTACAACTCTCAGCAGGGACTTCACACAGAGTAGAAGTAAATTTAGATCTCTACTCTGAGAGTTGAGGGGAAGAAATAAATGATATCTATTTTAAAATGAAATTTAAAGAAGAGCCTGAGGACATCTTGGCTCATTTTCCCCCCACCTTTGGAGATTGTTTATAAAGTGTTTTAATTTTCAAGGAGTCTAAAATTGACCCATAGGTGAAGTTCATGTCTAATGTTGAGCTAGTGGTTTAAATGACCACAGAGCTGCAGCTGGGTGTGCTCGATTAGTTAAAAAGCAGCTATCAAACTGTGAATGCACCATGATCGTTATGGGCACTTGGACCCTGGTCCTCACGTATTGGATAAACCTGTGGTCTTTAGAAAGTTTTTTTTTTTGAGAGTGAGATGATCACCTCAAAAGTTCCCAGTACCCGTGGAGCAGGGCATCTTGAAAGTAGTAGTAACGTGCAGCTTTATCCAATTATATCCATGTATATATGTAGCTGTGATAATTAAAATTACAGTAGATCCTCCTGAGTAAGGAGTGCTAAGAAATACTAAGTATTCTGGAATGTGTCATAGATCAGGTAAGTGACCTCATTCGTTTCCTTGAATCTCAGCCATTTAACAAGCATAGGCAGAGCTAGCAGTACTCCTGTACCTTGCAGATATCTGCATACCTAAAACATAGTCCATGCAGGATGCTTCCTTCTATTGTGGTTTAACTCCAGCAGGCTGCTCGGCCCCACACAGCCACTCACTCACTACCCTGGGATGGGACGGGGGAAATAACTGGAGAGGTAAGAGTGCCAGATCTCATGGGCTGAAACCAAGACAGCTCACTAGGCAAAGCAAATGCCACACACAAATGCAGCAGAACAAGGAATCCACTCGCTGCTTCCCATCAGCAGACAGGGGCTCAGCCACCTCCAGGAGAAGACCACCTTGGGAAGACAAACGCCATCACCCCAACATCCCCCCTGCCTCCTCCTTTCCCCCAGCTGCTGTCGCTGAGCACAGCACCACACGGTGTGGGACATGCCTTTGGGCAGCCTGGGCCAGCTGTCCTGGCTGTGTCCCCTCCCAGCTCCTGGGGCACCCCCAGCCTCCTTGCTGGCCGGGCAGCACCAGGAGCAGGAGAGGCCTCGGCTCAGTGCGAGCACTGCTCTGCAGTGACTGGAACATCCCTGTTTTACCACCTCTATTGTAATCACAAATCCAAAGCACGGCATTGTGCACAACAGGCAGTCTTTCAGATTATATTTGATTCTTCTGCATATAGGTTTTGCTGGACGATGGTGAACACCCAGAATCATCAAATGTATTTAGAGATAACTGTCGTTTGGTGCTGTAGCAAAATCAGGAGAGAAAGTCTGAA